GCCGTAAACCATTAAGAAAATAATATTGCTTCTTCTCCTATGTGTAAGACGAGCCATGTCAGCAAAAAGCAAAATCATTTTCTATATCAAAGTGGGGGAGTATGCAAGAGTTCTGACTTGACTTAGTCTGCAAAATGAGGAATGTATATGTTTTGTGGGAACAGATTTTTTTTGTGTGTGTAAATGTGCGTTCTTTTAAAAGACGAGACTTCAGTACGTTATCAAAGAGAGGGCTTTAATTTTTTTAACCAAAGGTGAAGGAATATATGGCAGAGTTGTAAATATATAAATATATATATATATATATATAAAATAAATATATATAAACCTAAAAAAAGATATATTAAAAATATAAAATTGCGTTAAAGGCTCGATTTTGTATCTGCAGGCAGACACGGATCTGAGAATCTTTATTGAGAAAGAGCACTTAAGAGAATATTTTAAGTATTGCATCTGTATAAGTAAGAAAATATTTTGTCTAAAATGCCTCAGTGTATTTGTATTTTTTTGCAAGTGAAGGTTTACAATTTACAAAGTGTGTACTAAAAAGAAAAAGAACAAAAAAAAGCTGCAGAAGGAAAAAATGTGTAATTTTGTTCTAGTTTTCAGTTTGTATATACCTGTACAACGAGTCCTCATGGTGCCTTTTTTCATGGAAGTTTTTGATGATGGATGAACGCACGCCATCCCTTTTTGAAGTGTAGGCGGACACAGGGACTTGAAGTTGTCACTGACTAAGCTCTCTTTGGGAACGTTTGTCTCATCACATCCTTTGTCATGCTTGTGTTATAACTACTCCGGAGACAGGGTTTGGCTGCGTCTAAACTGCATTACCGCGTTGTAAAATATAGCTGTACAAATACAAGAATAAAATATTGAAAAATCAAGTTGGCTTGTTCCAGAGTTCTTACCTTTTGAGTCAGGATTTGCACGGGTGGGTGTTTGGTTCCTTTGGGGGTCCCTGGGTGGTGTTAACGTGCTTGGCTGCTAACAGAAAGTTTGGAGGCTGGAGTCCACCCAGAGGCGCCTTAGAAGAAATGCCTGATGATCTACTTCTGAAAGATCACAGCCATTGAAACCCTATGGAGCACAGTTCTACTCTGACACACATAGGGCCACCATGAGTCACAGTCAGCTGGACGGCAACTGCCTTTTTGGTATGGTTCTCTCAGCTCTTAACCCATTGGAAAGAGCTCACAGAGAGGGCTCTTTGGACCTCATTTTTTTGCAATTATTGTTGCAAGGACTATTGCGATAGGAAGAACACACAACAGAATGAAACCCTGCCAGGTCCTGCGCCATGCCCGCGATCAGCTGAGGATAGGACCGTTGTGGTCTATAGGGTTTTCCTTGGCTGATTTTCAGAATTGGCTGGGGATTGAACCTGGATCTCCTACATGGCGGGTGAGAATTCTGCCACTGAACCACCACTGCCCCATCACCTCTTCCTTTTGTATCTTGGGCCAACTACTTCCCCCTCTAGGTCCCATTCCCAACCTGTACAAGAGGGTATTGGATTAACCAGATCATTTATGATTTATGATTCAGACATAAATTCAACCTTGTTTGCTTTGGCACTCAGTTTTCTTCTACCTCAGAAAACCCCAAGGATGAAATTTTGATTGATGGGACCTAGGAACAGTGAGGACAAGGGTGGTTCTGGCCATTGGCCTCGGGGAGAGAGTCTGCACCCCACTCTTCTCGTTCCTGGGTGGCGCTGTGGCAAGGACATGGAGTGGAGCCTTTTCCTTGGCAGACAGGCCACTGGTTGACTGGTGACATCCTTTGGCAGTGCCTCTGGAGCAGGCTCCGAGCACGTGCTGGGAAGCCTACGAGAGCTGACCACCCAAAGCCCCAGAGAGAGCCTCCGAAAGTCACACCACCTTCTGCCAGCTGCAGGGCCTTTCAGCTCAGGTTTCCTTTGAAAATGACTTTAAAGGACTTGCCAGCTCGAGGCCTCAACTCACCCTTCTCTTTGAAAAGGGAGAAAATGATCCCTTTGCTCCCATGGAAACTTGGCAGAAGAACTTACAAAACAGATGGGTTCAGGAATGCCAATTCACAGGCCCAAGGAGGCTTGCTGCTGGGCTCCGTTGCTCCAGAAGTAACCCAGGGTTTGTTTACCTATCAGTACTCTTTAATAGAGTGACGGGTGGGGGAAGGGGGGAACAGTGTGGATGGCATTCAAATAAAAGGGAAGATCAAAGAGTGAGTAACTGCAGCCGATTAAGGATCAATAACAAGTAAAAAGAAAAGTCTCTTAGCAGATAAGCTAGGGCAAAGGGAATATAAAATTTTCTATTACAAAAGAAAAACTTTTCAGAAATGCATTTCTTATAAAAGAGGCTGTGCGTGTTGCTCTTCTCTTTATAGTATGGGATTTTTAGAGGAAAGGTTTTGGAGGACCAAGTGGGTAGGGATAGCGGAGTCAATCCTGAGAGGCTGAGTGTTTAGAATCAAGTAGAGTTATTTAGGGAGTTGGAAAGAACAGGACGGTAGAGCTTACCTGGTTCAAATCCCTCATCCAACCCATGGAGGGACTGAGGCACTAGGGGTGAAAAAACTTGTCTGATGTCACCCAGCTCTCTGGGGTGGAGAGAGAGAGCAAGGCTCCTTCTCCTTACCCCAGCCCTGAGAGAAGAAAAACCAGATACAAACCTTCCCATTTCAGAGACGAGGAAACTGAGACAGGGTCACAGCTGAGAAGGTGGCCGACTAGTCTGAGTTCACACGACTTGTTGGTAGAACTTCAGTCTGTTCAGTCCAAGCATGAAGCCTCAGATTTCTTAAGAGAAATGGGCTATTCCCTTCAGAACCTGGGTTCACCTTCTCTCTGGATCACTCGTAGTAAACATTTTATTAGACAGTGGAAATAACATCTTCCATCTGTGTGAATCTAAGATTTTCAAAGCACCTTTATATCAGTGATCACATTCAATTCTCACAGCCACCTCTCAGGGCAGAGGTTACTCTCTACATTTTACAGGAGACGAGGGTCACAGGGGTTGGAAACCATGGGCCCTCTTCAGAAATTCCAGGATAGTGGTAGAACACCAGGAGTTCCAACTGAACCAGACCTATAATGACGTGTCCAATTGTACCAGCCCACAGAATTTTCTTAGAGAAATTCCTTTGGGTCAGACCTTCAGCAGTCATATTCTGTATCACGTACCTTACCTCTCCAGCCACTGATTTGTCCAGAGATGCGTACTGGATCCAAGGACAACCAATCCACAGGTAGCCTGTTATGGCATGTGAAACCCTGCCTAAATAGAGAGATGATAATGAGCGTTGGGTCACTAAGATTCTATATTCTGGGAATTTGTCAGTGAAATTCCAGTCCAGTGTTTCTCAATCTTCAGTGGTCTGCGGTCCACCTAGATAATTTTTGCTATATCAACATACCTTGAATATTTATTTACTGACTGTTTTTCTATAAATCAATTCACTTTTCAGATGTGTTTTTCCAAAATATACATTAAAATAAATACTTAGCATTCAAAATAAGAATGCCCCTTCATGTATCTTCTAAAAGTTGTCTCGTGTTCTACCAGAATTAGAGAATTAATTCTAAAAAAGCCCGAAGAAAATTAGAATGGGGAAGACAAGCAGAGAGAGGTAGAGAGAAGGAGACTCATGAAGAGTAGCTGGATCGCATTAATGGTGGAGGTCCAGGTGAGACCCCAGGGGAAACCTGGAGCCTTCCAGTGCCAGCACTAGATTCCAGGAAGTTTGTCATTATTGGGGGTTCCTGGTCCTAGATTTCGAGGAGATTCCATCCCTCTTCTAGCCTCTTTGTAATAAAGTCCCTGCCTTAACCCCTGCACCACCTGCCATTATTTGGACTGGTCTATTTCCTGGGTCCAAAAAAGATATAACTTATACACATACCCAGGTCTCTGGCTTCTGGGGTGTCTGCCATTAAGAAAGTCTTTAAATGCTTTTTGGTCCAAGTTTCTCAATAGCAAAGGCTGAGAAATGCTGTGATCCCTACGGGGTGACACATGAAAAGAGGCCTGCCCAAAACACTGTAACCAGTTGGAAAGACAATGTCGCTCCAAGTCCCCAAAGCAGCAACAGGAGGTCTTTCAAAGACACACTGGAGCCCACCTTTGCCATGGGCGTGATGTCCAGCACAGGCAATACAGCATCCAGGGCCACATACCTTCATCATCATGGAAGGAGGAAGCTTCAATGATCACTGCGAGTGGCCTCGTAGAAAGGCAGGCACTCAGGCAGGAGGGGACCCAGTGGGGCTTGGAGCCCTGGGGTATTAAATTGTTCCTACCAAGCCCTTGGGGTCTAGCTCCCTTATTAAATGAGTTTGACTCGTTTAACCCCAAATGACTGGCTTCTTGGGACATCAAACTTTTGGGAAGGTTTCTCCTTCCCTTTTGCACTCCAAAGCAGGCAGATTGGTTAAATAACAAGCACATATGGAGTCAGACTACCACTTGTTCATCAGTTTGTGGTAGCTTCATGTTGCTGTGAGGCTGGAAGCTGTGCCACCAGTATTTCAAACACCAGTGGGGTCACCCTGGTGGACAGGTTTCAGTGGAGTTTCCAGACTAAGACAGACTAGGAAGAAGGACTTGGCAATCTACTTCTAAAAAAATTGGTCAGTGAAAACCTTAAGAATAGCGGTGAAACATTGTCTGACGTAGTGCTGGAAGATGAGAGCCTCATGTTGGAAATCACTCAAAATATGACTGGGGAAGAGCTGCCTCCTCAGAGTAGAGTCGACCTTAATGACATGAATGGAGTAATGCTTTCAGGACCTTCATTTGTTGATGTGGCTTGACTCAAAATGAGAAGGAACAGCTACTATGTTGGGAATGACAAATCGAAGAAGAATGGCGTCACATTCATTGTCAAAAAGAACATTTCAAGAT